AAAGTTTAGAATTTTATTGGATAGTCAACATGGTTTCACTAAGGGAAAATCTTGCCTCACAAATCTTTTAACATTCTTTAAAAAGGTTACTGCTTATATAGATGAGGGTAAGGGTGTAGATTTGGTGTATCTGGATTTCCAGAAAGCATTTGACAAGGTGCTACATAAAAGACTTGTGAAAAAATTAGCTCTATGGGATAAGTTAGCAAATTGGATAGAAGATAGAAGATTGGCTGGATGGAAGAAAGCAGAGGGGTTGTTACAAGTGGAGTTCAGTCAAACTGGATTAATGTTACAAGTGGGGTACCTCAGGGCTCAGTCTTAAAAAAACTTTGCTCTTTTTGATTTACATCAATGATATAGATGAAGGAATAGTCAATAAATTACTTAAATTTGCAGATGATATTAAGGTCTTGGGTGTTGCTAGATGTGAAGAGGATGCTGCTGATTCACAAAAGGATTTAGATCATTTAGTTACTTGGGCAAACAAATGGGAAATAGGTTTTAATTACAATAAATGCAAGACAATGCATGTGGGGTATCATAATTTGAATTACAAGTATAATTTCGATGGGAATAACCTTAATAGTGTTATGAAGGAAAGGGATCTTGGTGTAATAGTTGATCAGTCTCTAAAGCCATCCAAGCAGTGTGCTGTTGCTAGTGGAAGGGCAAATAGGATTTTAGGTTGTACCTACAGAAATATTGAATACAAGTCTAAAGAGGTTATACTTTCATTGTACATTTGGAATATTGTGTTCAGTCTTGGGCTCCTTACCTTAGTAAAAACATTAAATTGTTGGAAAGGGTTCAGAGAAATGTTACTAGAATGGTAGCTGGGATGGAGGGGTTGTCATACGAGGAGAGGCTGAAACCTTTCAAATTGTTTTCTCTTGAAAAAAGATGAGCTAGGGGGGATCTGATTGAGGTGTTTAAGATTGTAAAGGGAATTAATTGTGTTGATGCATCATCTTTTTCATATTTAACAGTGAGAATAGTAGGACTAGGGGACACAAATACAAATTTTGGCAAGGTAGGAGTCATCTTCAGCTAAGACAGTTTCATTTTTTTAACAGGATGGTTGGCCTTTGGAATGGGCTGCCTTCAGATGTTGTAGAAGCAATAATTTTAAATGAGTGTAAGAAAAAGCTTGATAAGGGCTGGATTTAATAATTTTTTTTAACTATTTTAATTTAGTTTAGAGGGTGGAACAGCCAAGATGAACCAATAGGTCCCATGTTGTCCCAAAACATTATGTTATGTTATATGGTTGGCAAGGATATAAAATATTCCAATGAATTCTAGTGTTCTAACAAATATAAAAATAAAAAGCAGACAAACCTTTTACTATTAGTGGCTTCTGTTAATTATACTTTAACTCCTACCTCTATTCCTTCCCTGTTCATAATAGTGCTGTCCATCTTCAAAATTGCTGTCTTGATTGTCCTTGGTGGAGGTAATTTGGTCATTCCAATATTGATAGCATTTGATCTTTTGGGATCTAATATCACAATCTCATTTTTCTTACCCTCTTGGTTTTTCTGTGTAAAATAACTAATTATTAGCTAAGGTAAATGTAAAATATTTATACTTTTTTTAAAGGCAATGATATAAATGTTTTAATAATATCTTAACCATTCAAAAGCTTTACTTGATGCTTTTAATTCTAGCATATTAATAAAACACTGAAGAAACTACCAGCAACTGTGATTTGTTTTACATTATTTATAAATTTCTTAATTTAAAGTTGACTGTACATTGAAAAAGGACAAGTAGAATCTTAAAAAAAAAAAATGTTTCCCACAGTAGCATTTGGCATCTGGTGCTTCAAAGTTATAAAAACATATAAAAAATTATACAACTAGTACTAATAAATATTAGACATATGATATGTGTTTTCAGCAAGTCCTTCTTAGTAGAGATCAAATAACATTTACCTTATCAATAAGTTGTCACCACATAATTTTTTATCAATTCCAGGAAATGCTTATAGTTGATGCTAATTTATATAATATTCAGAGTAAAACAAATGCCAGTGAAATATAATTTACTTTCCCAACAAGAAATCTTGCTGTCAACCCAAGGGTGAGGTAACAACTGACTTGCCACTTGGTTAAACTTAACTGAAAATTTTCACTTTTTTTTATTCATATTATTTAACTTAAGTATCCTGAACAAGCCTTTTTTTTAGTCAATGTGTGAAGATGATTGGCCAAGATAGGGATGGGGAGGCGGGGTTATCAAATTATGTGGGTACTACTAACAGCACTTAATTTGACACTTTCAAATGATGTTAATATCAGGAACTGATTTTGGAGTTACTATTAAATACAATGTTTATTTTTTCGTACACTTTTAGTGTATTACTAGGCTAATACTGACTAACTTTGCATAGAAAAGGGGTTAATTATTGATTTAAAAACATTTTTATTAAAAAAAAATCTATACAGTGATTATAAATGACTATCAAAAATAAAAATATATTAAACAGTAAATTTAAAATTTTTGTTTTATTAACAAGTCAATACAATTATTTATGTATATTATTTACAATATTTGATTTGAACAAAAGAAAAATGTTATAAAAAACACTAGGTTAAGTTAAGACTATTGTTTCTGCTTTGACATATACTTACTTACCTCCTGAATATACAGGATGTAGGTCAAACCATAAATCAACCACAAAGAACGGCAGCAACAAGGAGCAAGAGAAGAAAATCAGTTGTATTAGAGAATATTAATTGTGCAGAACTCTTAATCAGCTTTAAGTCATAACTGTTGCAATGCATTTATTTTAGTGAAATCAAATAAAGTCAATCTGCTACATGCAGTTGGATCACTTAGTAGTATCAGCAAAGGCAATAATTAATCATTTAATAACAATTTCAAAGCCATGCATGCTTTAGTTAAAGTATACATTCAGTTAAATTTACCATGATATTAAACTTTAAGATTTAGTTTTTATTACAGAATGAACTTGACTTTTGTGTAAAAGACAATTTAAAGATGAAACCTAAAATATTTCTTTCATAAGGTTATCCACACAACAGCACATAACAGATAAGAACAAATTCTATTGCTGAAAGAACTTTTTTAGTGCAACTAATAAAAAAGGTAAAATAAGATTACTTGAGATTTTACAAACAGAAATCACTGAAGATTCAATATATAATTAATTTAGCATTTGAGAGTATTTAAAAAATGAATAACTTTTCAGCACTACTATTAAATAACATTCAGGGAGTAGTTTCTTACCCAATTCACTATTTCTTTAGCTCTGCTTTCGAAAAGGTGTTCCAGTTTCTGTGTATCTACTGTTGTAGGTTTTATTTCATCCCATATTGTCTTTTTATTTGAGAGTTTGCTCACTAGAATTGGATCAGATTTTACTTCTTTCCAGAAAAGCTTTACAGTTTTTTTATTCTTTGGAATTGTTTTTTGTTGTTCTTGTTTCTGATTTTGTTGCCTTTGTTGTTGTGCCTGTCTAGACCACAGAGGTGGTGCAGGAGCCTGAGAACCATATCTAGAGCTCCCCATAAAAGAAGGTGGTTGTGAAAGACAAGGAGGAGGAGGAGGTGGTATTCCAAGTGGTGGAGGTGGTGGTGGAGGACCACAGCCAGGTGGTAAAGAAGGAGCCATACCTATAGGTGGTGGAGGGGGAGGTTCAGAACCACCTCCAGGAAGGGGAAGAAGAGGAGGTCCACCATTAAGTGGTACTGTAGTCTTTAAAATGTCAACTTCATCTTCATCTTTTAGATCTGTAAAGTCTAAATCGTTGATTAAAAGTGGTCTGCTGATTGTCTTAACTAACTGATCCCACTGTAATCCACTTTCAGATTTTCGAAGCTCAGGAATTGAAGAGTTACTTTTCTGAGGAGTTAAAGGAATAAGTCGATTTTCTAAGCGAGTACTGGCAGCAAGTCCTTCTTTTGCTCTACTTATGATACCACTTGTATCACCAAGTCTAGAACGATTCTCAGATGCAGGAAGGCGAAGATTTGTATCTTGCCTTTCTTTAAATTTTTCTTGCATATCATGTACACTCCCTTCTTTAATAATCTGTGGCCTTGAAGGTCCTTCTTCTTGCTTCACTAAAGTTGGAGGACGAACCACCTGATTGGTAGGACTAGTGGGAGAAGTGTCGGGAGTCACTGGTTTGTTGTCTTCCTCCTGGCTCTTCCCATACATCATTGAAAGCATCCATGACTTCTTATTAGTATCATTCCTTGTATAAGGAGTAGACCCATGCTTCTCTTGAGGAACATCAGTGTGGCTATTTTGTTTTATTAGCTGATTTGGAGTTTTCACTTCTTCTTGTTTTATCTTGGGCTCTTCTCTAGAGTGCATCCGTGAAAGCTGGTGATTTTTCCGATTTTCATCTTCTATTCGATTTTCAAAACGAAATCTTTGCCGTTCAACTAAAGAAGCTAGAAATAAAAGAATCATAAAACATTTTCTGTTTAGCTTTGTTTATAAATTTCATTAATTAAAAATACATTATATGTGTGAGAAATATTATTACACTAATTATAATTTACAATGGTGGTAAATGTAAAAAAAAAATATTCTGAATTTTAAAAAATTCTCTATTTCAGTTTCTCATAAAATTCCCTATGAAATATTTTTGCTTTCATGATAATTTTTCACATACTTTAAGGATTTTAAGGTATTTTCTGTTATGTATATAGCATGCCAACCACTGTTTCTGCCATTCCCAGCCAGCAGAGACCCGGTATTGGCCAAAAGGTCTATGTGACACTTGATATAACATATGTAAGAAGATATAGTGTGGTTCATGTATTATACACTCTTCTTTATTTTCACTAAAAAGCTCTTACTAATAAGAGTAAACAAAATTTAGATTTTTGCCTCACTTACAACTGAAAACATATGAATTTAATAAAAACAAAGCATAGTAATTAATTCAATAAATTTCTCAATTTATTTTTGAATATACATACATTTTTCAGATTTTTCTGTGGGAATTACAGTAGGTTTATCAAAGCTTCCAACAGAATCTATGCTTCCTGTTGAAGACATACTATCTGTTCGTTGATATACAACTCCCTTCCCATTTTCTTCCTGTTCTTTGATGAGGGACCGATTACGGGCATCTCGTTCTCTACGTCTTCTTAAAGCAGGAGTTATCCCATTTACATCTGTTAGCGTGATAAAATATCATGTGAATCAAATATCTAGTTTTCAGTGTCTTAAACAAAGAAAGTATTCGTAACATCTGTAAACCTAAGTTCCATAGCTATAATTCATACTTTTACATAAAAATCTAAAGACAAAGTTAAAATAGAGCTACTTACATAGTTAAACAAAATGCATTTTGAACTTTTTTTTAATGTTATAACTAGGGTAAATGTTATTCATTTTACCAGTGGCTAAGGTTGTTAATTTGTTTTGTAAATGTATATTATCTTATATTGTCAGTCTAACAAACTTAACAAAATGAGAACTGTACTAAAATCAACAGCAAGTTTACTAGACTAAAAAACCACAACTTTCATTAATACTGTTTACCTTTTTGCTGCTATAAAAACAAACTGATTCAATGACAGAACTTTAACATTTTATTAAAAGCTAAAGATTTCTACTTAGTTATTCTGTTTTGAGTTTGTGTTGGACAGATAATATGACATACAATGAAGTTACAGACATTTTTCTGTACTGTCACAATTTACTTAGTAGGCAGTGATGTATCTGAAAATGTACATATGCACACGAACACCTACATAAAGCATGTCATCATAGCCTTTTTACATGAGGATGGTATCTAAATGATTTTTGGAGATGTACCAAATATTGTGTATCACAACTCACATGTAAACGTCTACAGCTTTGAAAATGAAAGCCAAGATCTGAAACCCAGCTGTGGCACCTAAATAAATACTTCATTCTTTTGATACTATTATAATTCTGTAAAAGACTAGTTCATTTCTTTAAACTGATATAAAAAATTTTTGATTCGTGCAATTACAAAAAATAAAGCATGCAACAATTTTATTACAATAAACTCCAATAACATTATTCAATTACTGTAATTCACATTTAACTTTTAGTTCTTTAAAATTTAAGTTAGTGATTGAAAAAGTTTTAAAATTTAATTTAATCAAAAATTATTTTCTTACTCTTAGACTTATAAGAGGAATAGTATTTATATATGACACCAAAAGCATCTCTATCAGTGATTGCATAATTCCAAATTATATTATACTCTTAGGGTCTGATGGTTCCAAAACTCTCTTAAGGTAGTAAATAAGATGGGAAGAATATACTCACAAATATTCTTTTTATGGTATGCTATTACATATTTCTGATTAACTATTTTTTGCTTCACAATTTACTTCCCATCTCAGCAAAATGTCTAAGGAATTTAAATAACTATTAATAGGTTCTTCAAAACTTTTCTTTGTATGTATAATGAGTAACATGTTTTATACCACATTTAGCATTTACAGCTATATCTTTTCCTTCTGATTAAATATGTAGAACAGTTGTAGGTAGTATAGCAAACAATAAAAGTATATAAAAGCTTTTGTATTTTCATTATGTTTAAAATATATTTTACAATAATTTTTTTATAATACAATTGTAATGTATTTCTTTAGATACTTCAGATTTTCTAATTAAACAAAAATTATGGAATCTTAATGTAAAAAAGTAGCACACCTGGTTTATTGGGATAACATGTACCATTTAACTGCAATGACCCTTGGTTTGTGTCCTGTTTTTTCATTGACTCTGCATTTTCATTTTGTTCCCTACAGTCAACAAATAAATAGAGAACAATGATAAATGTATTACCTTGATACAAATATTCCACACAATACTATGAATTAGAAAATAAAACACAAATATGAAACATATAATATGTTTAGATAACTAGTGAAATTATGCATATAAGATATGACACATGAAAAAATATACTGAGGGACAGTTAAAGAAGAAGAAGAGTAAATGCATCATTTTTATCTTTCACTAATTTTGCATAACTGGACAAAAATATACACAAGATAAGAATACCTTCTCCTCCACTGGCTGAATGGCTCTTCTGTAGTTTTAGGGATGGAAGGACTTTGGGATTTATGCTGAGGAGCAGATGGGTAGTTGCTTACAGAATGTCTCCGACTTTTTCTTCTATCATTGTCATCAGGATAAGATTTTCTACTACGTGGAACTTGTCTGTGGACAGAAAAAAAATTTAAACACTTGACAAAAATGCTTACCTTAAAGCACTAGTTAAAAAATTTCAGTAATTAAAATATCAAGCAAAATTGTCAGAGAAGTATACTAAATAAACTTTTACTCAAAATATGCATTAGAATATATGTTTATATTTAGATTTCTTTGTTTCTTCCATATACATATGAATGAGTAAACAGAAAATAATTTTGTTACAAGAAAATAAAAAACTCTCAACACAAATATGTATCAACTATGCAGTAAAAGGACTTACTTGTATTTCCAAATTACCATCCATGAAGTTCTTATATCTAATTCTTATTAATTTCAGTAACATGATTCACATACAACTGCCATTTTGTAAATTTCTAGCATTATCTTATACAAAAAACTCAGTGAAAGACACCAAAAAAGATCTAATTAAAAAAAAACATTTTTGTTATTTCTCTCAATAATTTTGTTGTGATGTAAATGCATACAACTTAGTCAAATAAGTATTGCTATTAAGAGCATTCTAAAACATTAATTTACAATAACAAGATGTTAATACTTACCTAATCAGTCGATGATCAACTGGTAACATTTTACCATCATACTCTCCATCTTCATGTCTCAGAACAGCCTGCAAATAACGAAAAAATGATATTAAATATGCTTAGGTTTTATCTCAGATAATACAATGAACACTGATTAGCACCAAAACAAACCATAATTTATTTCTTAAATATTTAACCAAAAAAAATTTGACAGCTTATTTTTAATACACAAACATTTTTGGTGCATTATATCAAGTTGATATTCACACATATCATGATTTAAAGCTCCATTAAGCAAGTGATCTTACTAGGCTAGAGAGAATTAAACACTTTTTTTTAACATAATGCATTAATATTGAATGATAAACTTACACTTAACATCCCTACATTTCATCCTTAGAAAATTTTAAATTTAAAACCTGACTTTCTCTGTTTTCATCATTAAATACCTAAAATTTATCACACAAATGTATGATAATTATTGTAAAGCTATTAATAAAAACAGAAAAAGCTAGCTAAATGGTTCCATTCTAATAAATTTTCAATAAATAGTTAAAATTTAATACTAATTATTTTTAAGCCAAGGCAAAAATATTAGATAAGGTATTTATTGTATAATTGTAAAGTAAAGCAATGGAACATGTTTCTGAGGTTAAATTTCTGGAAATGACTTTAATTCAGATGCATATATACATATAACAATTATCACAGGTAAAATTGCAAGAGACAGTGAGAATCACAGGTATCTTACTTATTTTATCATTTAAAGATTTATATTGCTCTTTGGTTATGTTCTATTTTAGTAAACAAACTTTCGGTTATACAATAAATGGTTAAACTTCTGTGCAACAGGTTTGTTTTAGAGCAAAGCCACAGTAAGCTATCTGCTGTGTCCACTGTAAGGAATCACACTTTGGATTTTAACGTACAAGTCTGTAAACTCACAGCTGTCCCTCCAGGGGACTTGTGCTACAGGATAGCAGCTTCACTCCAATCAGTTATATTTACATACAGAAATACTGCCATTGAAGTTAATATTTAAAATGAAACTTAAATATTTTATGGTTGAATATTTAAAAGGATTATTACCAATTTTCAAGTACTTGTATTGTCAATAATGAAATACATGATTATTTTAAACAGAGTCAAAATTTATAGCATCAGCAACATTTCTGTACCACATATTTTCAAAATACTGTTAAGGTTCTTCCTCCTAATGATTGGAGTCCTAACAAAGAGAAACAACTTCATTTCCAGTATTTAAGAACCATTTGAATATCTTACTTAGCGAAATTGGCAAGTGTAATATGATATAATTACTGTATGAATGAAAAAATATTGTATTCAATTATAGTTATTGTGATTGAATGTATTGAATGATTTTATAATGTACATTATGTGTTATAACAGAGTAAAAAACATAATTCATACAAGTATTGAGTGATAAGAGCCTGGTGATACATTTTTTTTATTTTTAAAATTTATAATCATCTATGGTCCTTTCTTATTCTAATTTAAGTTGCCTGTTGTGAAATAACTTTGATGAGGGAACCCAAGGTATTCCTCAAAACTTATGAAACAACTTCAGCTGTTCTCATGCAGCTGAAAACAAACCCTATAGTAAGACATTTCACTTCTTTAGCAATGTTTTTGCAGATGGATCTTTTACCATTTAAGAAGCTGAAGAGTTATCAGAAGTATCTGTTGTGACACTTAGACAAATATAAAAAGAAACCAGACATGACAAATTATAAGTTATAAATATGTATTTATCAGAATTTTGTTGATGCTACCTCATATATTTGAAACTGCTGCAGCAAGTCTAGATCTGTGCCTTGTTTAGACATGTAATATTGTATAATTCTCTCCATCCCTTGTTCTTCCAGAGAGTCCACAACATCATAGTATGTGTCTTGATCAGGAATTCCATTGATAGTCTGTATAAATGAACCAGAAGACTCTGTACAACTGTTAATTCACCGTGCTTTAAAAACATACCAAACATATAAATACTATAAATTACATAATGTTTTCTTTGAAAAATTGTTGTTCATGTCTAATACATATATTGCAATGCTAACTATGTACAATTAGGTAAGTAAATGAATTTAAGAAGCAAACAAAAGAAAACTTTCATTACTTCATATCATATGTTTATTTGAATATCATTCCTAACTATTGTTTTATTTCTAATAAGATAAAAGTATTAGGCTTATTGTATTTTTTAACACTACATACTTTATTCAGTTACTTATAGTTTTTCCAATAACTATGTCTATCACATCCATTTCATTGAATACCAAAGCTCATGTGAATAAAGAATATAATATTAAAAAATAAAATAAGCCAAACACTAACGACATTTCTAACTAGCTAACAGGTGAATATTATCACCATATTTACTTTGTGCATTTGAGTCCAGTTAGTGTTAACCTGTGACAATTAATGTAAAAGTATTGTCTGTTTAACTATCTAAAAAAAAGACACCATCTTATATCTAATGAAAAAAAAGTCTTAGATATATATAATTTAGTAAGATTATGCAAACTATGCTAATATCTTGTAGACTCTACAATATTTAACATGTAATATTCCTTCTTCAACCTATTAGAATAATTTTTTTTTGATTAATTTGAAATCCATGTATTAAAAGAAGTTTCTGTCATAAAACAGGGACATAAATATTTCTTTAAAGTTATAGTTATAAATCCTTAAAGGAGGTTCACAAAGCCAACAAAGAGACAATGTGAACTATAAAGAGTATTATTACTGAGAATTAATAACTTCCAGGCATATTTGTTATACCACCAGTGTCTGATAAATGTTCATATATGAATTTTGTAATCTAAACATGTAAAACATTAAAATGTACATTTTAATTTAACATTCATGTATACCATAATAAGTTCTTTGTTTACTGAGAATCCTTGTTCCACATAAGCTTTAAAAGGCCATGAAATAATATCATGATTAACTTTGTGACATCCCACAATTTAGCAGAATCTTTGTTCTCATCCATGTACTCTATGAAGAGCCTAATTTTGTTTTTAATGGTTTGAAACTGCAGAACTGTCTTTCATTAGCACTGACTATTTCTTGTAAGAGTAGTTTTTATGATGCCAAGGTATGCCTCTTTCAATTTCTTTAACTCTTTGCATAACACCAGTTTTCTCAGATTTTTTGCTGTTCACTTAGTTTCTTAGTCAATAAAACAGGATCAAAACATTACATGTCAGGCAAAGCATGGCACATTTCAGACAAGTAGATGCCTTAATGATGTCCTGAGAAGTAACTTTGCTACAGATTCATCAGGCAGGAATTATTGTTTAACAATATACAAAAACACTACAGTCATAGCAAAGGTTTATCCAAGAGAACTGGTCAAAATATACATGTTCTCTGATATATGTGAGAAATGAAAATAATAACCAGCTTATTTCCATAAAAATTTTCACTTTCTTACCTCAGATTTATCCAAAAATTAACCTTTAGTTAAAGAAAATTTAACAATTACAAATGAGCTCCCAATCCTAAATAGTAATCTAAGTTTTTTCTTTATTGATGAAAGAATCTATGAATTCCAAAAATGGTCAATTAAAATGTTTGTTGCTATAGTTGTGGTGTTATTATTAAATTTTACTATACTTTTTAACAAAGTACTTTTTACTGTTCATATAGGACTGAATATCTGGATGTGAACTAATTTTTAATGTTGCATACAATTCTTTCAGTTTGTTAATTGCACAAAATTTTCTGATAGTTTTTGAAGATTTCTGTAAACTTTCACTGGTGACATAAATTTTCAGGAATTTTTAATTATTTTTTTTTGTATTTGTCACAAGATCCATTTGATGCAATGTTTTATTACTCTACACATCAACTTCTTCAAATCAGTGCACAAAAAGGGTCCAACATTTGGAAACTTCAGTATCAAAAAGCATGTATTTTAGATTTGTGAGAAAAATAAAATGCTAATTGATAAACTACAAAAACCATTATTAAAACTGGAAACATATTTTCCAGATGCCAGATTTTATTTCTCCAGAAATTTCACTTTAGAGACACTATTAAAACCTGGAAATCACTATACAATTTTAAAACTTTCCAAAACTTACATGAGTTTTGCATTATCAACATGTAATGACAAATTACTGATTCTCATTTATGTCAACTGAAGTTTTCCTTACCTTATTTATTAGTGTCATAGCAAAAACTAGAAGCTCCATGTCAGCCGAATCTCTGTCATTCAATAGATTTATAATGTTGGACCATGCTTTGGTGTCTAAAGTATAAAAATACAAATTTTTAAGTCTGGAGAACCAGAGAATTAAACTGATACTCTTGTGTAAAAGAAATGTTTTTAAATGAAACTGATTTTTTAAAAATTGTTTTTCACAAACAAACAAATCATAATATAAAATAATGAATCTGACCTGATCGGCACTTGAGGTCAACACTCTTAACTCACACTAATGCTTTGAGGCTAGTGTTATAACAACTAAGTTTTCAGGGCTTAGTTCAAGCAAACAACTCCTTACTCTAACTAATACAAAGACTCATTTTGCTTAGAAATAAAGAGAATTATCATACACCATCAATTTTTCAAGTTGTACGTTAAATGTCACCATCATTTACAAGTAAGTTTGAACTGCATGCTACAAAAAAAGACTTCAAGTTGGGAGGAGTTACTATTATTTCTGAAATTTTCTATACTAAATTGTTATGATCTTTTTAATTAACTAACTGCTCTGAGTTATAATTGATTATAGCTAGAAATTCAATATGTAGTAGTAATAAGTGTCACACAGCAGGGAAGAGATAAAGATCTGAGTTTAAAGCTATACTTTACAGTCTGTTTCAAATGTTATATACCAAATACATTTTATTAATTTTAATGTTCTTCCATAAGTGTAATACCTGTAGATATAGCAATGTTGATGACTTACTCTTATCTATGTCCACTGTAGTAACAGCATTTAGAAGAAGTTGACTGTTCATCTCAGTGTATTCAACAAAAACTAATAGCAGTTTCAAAGCTGTCTTGACAACAAGACGATACTAAAATAACAATGTTAAGAAATTTGATACATATATATATATACACACACACACAACATATTAAGAACATTTGATACAAACATAATTATTTAAAAGTCATTAACAAATGAAAAACAAAACATAAGCATTTATATTTAAATTTACAAAGGTTTTACTGGAATTAGTTTTACTGAATTGTTAACATTTTAATACATTACATCCAATTTTAAAACATGCCTTAAAATGATATCCCATATTACGTACACATAATAAATGCACTAAGAGAGCTCAATAAAATCTATGCTGTCGAAATATTGCAGTACTCATCCTCAATGTTCTACATCAAATAAGATATATCAAATAAGATATATAAAATATGCATGTAGTAATATAGAATACAACAGTTAGTTTGACACTGCTACTGAAAATGATTTCATATTGCTGGAATAACTTTTATTTTTGATAGTTACTATTAAGTTGTGAACTTTTGACTAATAATCCTGTTTTACATTTTTACGTATTGCTTTTCAATAATGGTAAACCAATATATAGAAATAAAAGTCCTGCGTATCTAAAGAATTTATAAGACATGCAATGTTTGTCATTGCTAATAACATGACTGGACTCATAAATATACATTCTTTTGAGTATCTAATAACTAGTTAGCTAGCTACAAAGATTCAAGATATGTGTGCTCAATAAAATTAGCTAAAGTTTACTAGAATATAGACATACTCATAAATTATGCAAATTGAAAAGAAACAAATTGTCATTAAGAAATCTACACAATAAAAAAAAACAACACTAAATAACTGTTGATTTTAAATTATTGTGACTTTGAGACCAATTAAGAATGATTAAAATTGACAAACTTGTTACCTAAGATCAGGGGTGAAATTCTGCCAGTACTAGTACCGGGACTTATTTGAGCTGCTTTGTCATTTTTTATGTTTATACATAGACTGTTTTTTCTTTTTCAAAAACAGGTCCACTTCACCCAGCTGATAACCTCTATTTTTTTTTCTTTTGAGAATTTCATCCCTGCCTAAGAGTAAGTTATTTAACATAGAAAGAAAAACAATGCCACTTATAAACAATGTAAAGCTATACCTATGAAAGTAATCACTCATTTAATTAGTGTTTTTATTCCTGAGAATTAAGAATTATTAAATTGCAAATGTTGAAGTTATAATGTGTAGTTCCTATATGCATGGCATACAAAAATAAACACACAAATATTAAAATTTAATTTTTTTGAAAAAACTATCGGAGGATTTTTACCTTTTCTTCTTTTATTTACAAAATTAATCTGAATAATGCTTTACTAGCTTAAATTCAATAAACAGGCTCTAAAATTAAACTACACAACAAAACATAGTTGGTGATTTGGAAAGCTTTGCAAAGTATTTCTTACATTTTTTTTAGTTATCCTAAGAATCCTCAATGAGATTGAGAAACATTTAAAACTATAATAGAGCACTAGTATACTAAAATTGTTAATGTTTTTGTAAGTAATAATAAGGTATTAATATATTTAACTAATTAATTAAAACACAAAATGTTCATTTTGTGTGATTTCAATAATTTTACTAAAATAAAAAATAGTTTAAATGAAATAACACTTAAAACACACAGTTTTCTCAGAATAATTATCCATACAGATAGCAATTACTACTGCATATGGTCTAAGTGATTCTGGAAGAAAAATGCAGAATGGTTATCTAGCATTTTATAGCTATCATGTCAGTAGAAATTATATGAAGTTTAACATTCCTCTTTTATCTTTAGTTTTATTATATTCTTCACAGAACATGGTATATTTTTCTACTTGTGATGTTAATACAGAATGGGTTTTAAAATTTTATTTTTTCAAGTCTTAAAATTCCAATTTAGTTTGTACTTGTTTCCATATGTAAGATAGAAGTAAAAATAACTTTTTCTTGAAATTAAAGTAATAGAATGTAAAATAAATTTGAAAATTTTTGAAATCTGAATTCAACAATTCAAGATATTTTCAGAAACACAGTTTTATTTATTTATTTTGAGCCAAATATCTAGTTTTCCAAAGAATATAAGACCAATTAATACATAATAAAAACATCTGTCTTAATATGCTTATTTAAATGTATATGCATTTAATTTCAATAGAGAAACTGAACATAATTACCTTAATATACATCCAATGCAAATATGCTTAGCATACTCTTTGGACATATTTCTGCCAATTCAAACAGTTAATGATAACCTTAGGTTATTACAGCAAGTTAAAATAATAATAATAATTGAATTAATATTTATAATGATTAATCACTGGTGAAAAGCAATTTACTCTGACTAGGACTTGAACTCAAGAACCACAGTTCACATTGCATGGTACCAAGAGCTTCAAACCCAAGCAAACAACGATCCACTTTGTTCCTGGCAAATTCTCTCCCACTGATTTCAAAGGATGTTCTCATCATGATCAACACCACCACTTGTGTTATTCAACTCAGTGGTTTAATCCACCACCTTGCAATTACAGATGTAATTATATTTAGTCACTAAGTGCACTTGGTGCTTTAATCAATAGTTACCTGGACTTCAACCCCAAGAAAAATGTTTTTAACCTATATACTTCATTACAAGATTAAATATACAAAACAGAAACATCTTTCATCTGAATACTCTTAACCGCTTATGTAAATACAGTAAAATAAAAACCAACAAATAGATCAAAACATTATGTATTGGTCCATAAAAATCTAATTCATAAAAATAATATGTGTAATTATAGTAGTACACAATAAATAACAGAACTCATTATTTTCTTTAAAGTCATCTTGTTCTTACCTTAGAACTGATGAGTGAATATAGCCATTGAATTGTTTCATTGTGTTCAATAACTCCATTCATACCATCTACATATAGCATCACCTGGCCCAAAGCTGTCAAAGTTAATTTAAAAAAATGGAATTCAAAATTTTATTCGTAACAACCAAAAACTCAAAGTGAGATTTCTACATGAATGATACCTCTAATGGGTTGCTACCTTAGATATTGTGTTTATTAATAAATTATGAGTAGGTTCAGCAAACTCCATATTGAATAAATATAATATTGACTTGAAAGTTAAGTATGATCAAGTCTATATCTTGAATATTTTGAAAATATAAGCTGTAATTAATAGTGTCAATGTTTTCGTTTCTATATTTTTGGTATATCTTATTTTCAAGTAATGATATATTCAAATAATGTATCATTGTAAACATAATATCACTTAACTAAGTACAGTTTTTGCAATCTGAAGTGAAAATTAGTTAATTAAATGATAAAATAAAATCACCTTCTTACATACCTTGAACACACACACAGTTAACACATAACAGACTAAGGTAAAAATTATGCCTATAATTATTCATTTTTAGTTGCGAAGGTGTTATAAACTGACTATAACTTCCTAGAACTTGCAAACATAATGGATAAATGCTACAAGAATGCTTAGTTCACAGTAAATGTTATTTCATTACTATCAGTAATTGCCTATTCTTATATGATATACATACATCATAAAAACCTAAGGAACAGCTCTCATTTCCAAAAGGAAAAATGAAAAAAATGGGAAAAATGAAGTTGTAATTGAATGATGTTTGAAATGATACTTGCATATTACCTGGTTAAGGAATCTTGTAAAAATATGCAAATATTCCATATAGGTAAAAAAATAGGGAATCTCAATTTTGACCTTATAATGTCCCAAGCTAAACTCGCCTTAATTTGAACCAGCTGAATAACGTTTTTCAATAAACATGGGTAGTAGATCACATCTAGAGGACATTTTAATGTGTAGAACAATTGGAAGACTTAAGCAGAAAAAAGTTACAGACAAGCTGCATCATGGTTTGGAGTATCACCTAGCATAGTGAATCAGATGTGTATATGGTTTCTAGACATGGTAACTAGTTCTGTGAGACTTAGGATAGGTTGCCCTTCAGTCACAATAGTGACTAGAACTGCTACATATCTTTATTGGTCAGGAGACATAAAAGGGTAATAGCACTGGCTATTTCCAAACAGCTGCATTTAGCCTCTGGTGTTCAATTATCTGCCACAACTGTTATGAATTGACTTCATAGGATTGGGATTTATTCTATAGGACCTACAGTTTGTGTTCAATTAGTCAGTCTCATTGTGCAGAGAGGAGAAGGTGGTCAAAGAAACACCTCAATTGGGGCAATGATTCAAGGTTTAGTTTAAGTGATTACCAACATGTTTGGTTCTTGTGAATATGTAACAAATTGTTTTTGAAATGCTGTACTTGTGAAAGTAGAACCTTTTGAGGTAGTGAAATATTGGTCTGGGCTGGCACCTCCATCAATGGTAATACAGACCTCTATATCTTGTAAAGTAGCTAAATGAGTGCTCTTAGATATAGGAACAACATCTTTTAACATTGTATGCCAACATGATGTGATATTGATGGTTCCTTTATACTAATCGATGATAATCCCAGACCACACTTTTCATAGTTTCCTCACTGAGTATCACTCATGTTTCAAACATTCTTCAAAAGTCTAATGTTTTTTTTTGTTTATGAAAATCTATTAACATTTCTAATATTTTTTAAAGGACAGACTTGAATTGTGAAAAAGTGAAATTCTAACTTCAGAGTGCTTAAATATGCAATGAAGATTTTCTCTGAATAAAATTAAATTTGCCACTTAGAAATAAGTCAAATAATTTTCTTTCACAAATTCTTCAGACTAACTATTTACATGGATACTAATTCATTATTTACTTGGATGCTCAAAATTCATTTTATTAAGATAAAACCTAAATGTTCTTGCACAACAGTACTGACAGTATTGTCTTCAGCACTTAAGCAACGAATTAGAATGTCATCTCCTTTAAAAAAATGTTGAGTAAGAAGATGGTATTCGACCATAAATTAATTGATTTCTAGATATAAGATGATGTTTTAAGATATGCTCTACTTAGTAACAAAGCACAAGATCTCAGGCAGATAAATCTCAACTCCAACTGTCTCATAATATGTCTTTCATAAAATTTTATGTTAAAGTTAAAATTCTGTGATGAATGTTTTGTTGCAAGATCCTAAATGTTGCTAATTTTTTAATGTTTCCTAAATTTGTTACGTTTTTTTCATTCCTCAGGAAATACATTTTGCTACAAAATTCAAAATTACCATACTTATACATTCCAGTTCTGGCATCTAACTTATTCAATACCCCAAGAAGATAATTTAAGGCTCAATCCAATACAATAATTAATTCTCAAAGTCTCTTTACTCACCTCGTAGAATATAGTTTTGATAATTTTGGTCTGCTTCAGACCCCACCTTGATAAGACATGCCAAACCATCATTCTGGACAAATTCATGTACCAGATCTTTATCATCCTAGGTTAATATGAAACATTACAAAATGTATAAAGCTTTATAGAAAACAAAATAATATGAATACTATTTATCACACAAAGTTAAAGGATGTCTAATACACAGTAATGGGTTTTGAAAGGTTCTCATTTCTCTGATAAAATTCCTTTAAAAATATTTAAAAGTTAGATCGACACTCATATAATTCTGAGGGAACAAAACAAAGTAGTTAACCCACATGAAATACTTGTATAGCTCCAGCTTTATAGTACAACTGTTTAATACAAAATATTTAATATAACTAACATATGTAATTATTTGTTAGATGTGTAACCTGACTCATTAAAGCCACTCATCATACAACAAAAAACATATGAAATGTAGCTCTTCACATACAGTTACCACAAAAGCTTTAAAAACTTCAAACTGATAACACCACATCATCAGACAAACCATTTCACAAGTTCATAAATTGAACCAAAATATGATTTTATTGATGCCCAAGTTCACACCTGAAATTTTATAGCTTAAATGTTATAATTTTCTTCCCCTGAAACTGTATTTTAGATAGATAGTTACTTTCTCTCACAGATATAGCTATTCTCGTTCAGTGCTTCCCTCTATATGCAAAATGTTTTTGCATGCCACAAGCTTTGTGCTCTCACATACCACACTATCAACGTGGTTCAACTGTGTCTCGCATTTAAATCATCAAGCAACAACTCTCTACCAATAGGAGTGCGACACATCCTACTGATGCATGTGGCTCCCTCTATTTGATTTTGGAACTATCACTTCGAGTTTTGGCAAAAAATTGAAACAATGGTTTTCAATGGGGAGGAAGGGTGGGAAGTGTGAAAGGAGGTAAGTACCTATTGGAATATATTTTCAGTATAGGAAAATTATAAAATCCGAGACAGTTCATTACCTCTTCTCACAGATATAGATAGCTAGAATCCCACATTGAATTGATGGGAAGACCAGAGCAAGGGAAAGAAAAAAGCATCCTTCAGAAGCATCCAAAGAACACTTGAAAAAGGAGATCCTCAGTGTAGATGATCATATGTGGAAGACTGCACCACTTCTGTACCCATGGTATAAAAAGGTGTTGCAAACATGGGCAGATGATGGGAAGAGCACATACAAAAGGGTGAGAACAATGATTAGATATAATCCAATCAATCCAATCCAATTGTGGTAGGTATTTAAGTTTAATAACCCAAGGGTGGTCAGAAATTAAAGTTATTTCTCTTCACCCCTTTGATTGTTTGTCTATAATTTTAGAGATTGTGGTAGTTAAAGCTGTGGCTTCCAAGGAATTTTGATTATGCTTTAATGACTTGCCGTGGTCAAGTGAGAGGAAAAAGCTGAGAAGAAGACAGAAAGAGTGTTTGTTTTCTTGTTGTTGTAGTGAGATTGAAATGAAGCTTCAGGTCAGACATACACAATCAATGGGTAACAAGCAGTGACACCAGACAGCCGACATCGTCCCTGAGGGCCAAAGCACCTCATCCCATTAACGACACAAAACCAAAACCATAGTTTACTGCCTGTAAATGACAATTATACACAACAGATAACATTCTATAAATACAAACCAGGTACCAGTAGACATTATTCAATACCAAACATATGGCTGTGAAACTCTAACAATTTAAACACATTATATATAACAATTCCACATATTTATACAAAAACACTTGTAGTCCATTGTTCATTCCAGTCAGTAACCTGAAAAAGAAAGTGGGGGGAGAAGGACAACATAAAATGCTCAAGGTGGTTGTTGAAGTGGGTTTTATTTATTTTGTGAAGTGATGTAGTTGAAAGGAGAAATAAATTTGTTCCATGAAGCTGGTGTTTCTGCAATTTGGGTGAATTTTGTATAGAGGTTATTCCTGGTTTTGGACTTGTGGATAAGGATCCAAACCATCTGATAAAAGAATCTCAATCCTTTGATGACAGTAATGTGGATGAGAGTAAAAGGATGTGGGAAGGAGACAGATGGGAGAATACACATAAAGTATTTGTTGGTCCAATCATGGCTGAGTGCATCAACAGCCAGTGTAAGTGGATGAGGAACTGTCAACCAAAACAGAGGTAATTTTGTAATGAAGAATATGGCAAACACAACCAGGTGAGGAGTACCCCACCAAAGACATAGCCACTGAAAAACATGAGGATCAAGAGACCACTCCGTTGGATAAATTTTGTCCTGTGACAAATCCGTGACAAAGTTGAATGCACCCAGAACATGACATGCAAGGAGACGAATAGTGAGCACGTGGGCCCCAAAAAGAAGATCCAAGGTTCGACTACAAGGGGAACAAGAACAGGTGCTGTCTTGATGATTGATATAAGCTACCACCGTAGAATTGTTAGAATGGATCAGGACCAGACAGTTCCTGGAATGATGAAAAAAATTATCCAAAGCATTATGTATGGCCACATCATTGAATATATATCAGAATGTTGATTTAGTAAGAGCTCTTGGCCAGAGACCACTGACCTGAAGCTTCCTGCTGATCAACCCATGCCCCCAGCTGTGGACATAAGCATCCACAAAGTTATGTAAATACAGATGAAGAGGAGGAAGGGAAATAGGAGCATCTAAGGAATCCTGTGCAAGATTCCATTGGTTGTGCACAGTCCACTGAAGAGACCTCATATGCACTCAACCTAAGGGGATAAGGGTTTCCATAGAAGATAACATACCCAAAAGTGATAGTACCTCGTGAGCAGTAATAGAGTAAGGGCATGGAGAACTAAAAGCTCCATTGAATGAAGTCAAAGAGGAGATGAGTGTTGAAAAAATACACCCAAGTGGATGAGATATTGGATAGGTATAAGGAAGGACTTCCCGAACTGTCTCAAAAAGCAACAGATGAGTGTGATGAATGGACTCCCATTCAGAATGAGCTATCAGAAGCCAGTCATCCATGTAATGATGTAAGCACCATTCTCAACATGCATATGTCAGGCAAAAGCCTTAAACACTCGACAAAAAACATATGGGATCAAAGCAAGCCCAAAAGGTAGGGTGCAAAATTTATACCCTACCCCATGATGAACAACCTAACATAGCACCTAGACTGAGGAGATATAGGAATATGCAGATAAGCATTCGAGACTTCTACTTTAGTCATCCACAGATCTGGAGAAAAAGCTCACCAGAGGGTGAGAAAAGACTTCATGGTAAAGTGGGACAGAACCAAAAATTGATTGATGCATGATAGATCAATCACAAGCCACCAGTCCCCAGTTTTCTTGGGTACCACAAACAGTCTGGAATAAAAACCTGGAGAAGGATGAGGTAAAGGTTTGCTGGCTTTCTGAGAGATAGGATTCTGTACCCAAGGCAATGGAAAAGATATGGGTATCTGAGATAATGGAGAGGAGAAAGGAAGTGTATGACAAGTCTCTCAGATAATACCCACATAACCCAAAGATCTGTGGCAAAATCTCGTCACAGGGGAACAAAATCGGTCATGTAAGCTTCCATTGGACTGAAACCCACTGGTACTGTTAGCAAAGTATCCATCTGCATCTAATATTGTGACGATTGAAGTGTTAATTAATGTATGTACAACTACTATTATAATTTATTAATCTGTAATAAATATATCCATTTTATAAGTTTACACAGGTGTTTTTAGAAAAATCATGCATTATCTGATGACTTACTTGAAAAATTTGCTTCAGGGAAAATAATGCTCGCCTAAGTTCTCGTCCTGAACTATTCAGCAGTTTCTCTGAAAAAAATCCACAGTTAAACAATGAAAGCCATTTACAATGAACAAATAAGATTTCCTCAACAATATATTCACAACTATTTTTTCATTTTTTATAATGATAAAAAAATATATATGCAAACACTGCTCTTGTTCTGTCAATTATAGTCAATAAACAGTTAATATAAAAACTAGTAAAAAAGTTTACACCGACTTTAATGAATAATTATGAATGATGAAATTGGTTTTTAAACTCAATACTTAAGAAAGTGGCTGACTAGGTACCCGAGAGTGAAATAAAAAAATTAATTTATGATTTGTGGCTTTCATTATAAATTTGCAAAATGAAAATCTGACAGTCACAATTTCCAGAAATGACTTTTCATTTTTTATGTCAAAATCTGTTTCTTTGTTGACTATGTCATATTATTGTTTTGTAAATTATTTCTGGTTACAAATTATAAAAATAAAGCATCTTCTGTTTTTATAATAAATTCCAATTTATTGCATAATCCTGCATCACCATAGTATTGTTTCAATGGGCTAAGGCAGTGGTTCTCAACTTTGAGAACAAACATGGCAGGTGACAGGCTTCCTGTGAAATTAGACAATTCCAGTCAATACTGTTACAAATATAATGCCAGACATCTCATTGCCTGTGAAGGATTTTCAAGCTCAGGGTTCTCAATAAAATGGAAATTTTCAAGGAACAAGTATGTTCACTTCGACATTGTGATTTGTTCCTTCACAAAAATTTTATTTTTTATAACACATTTCAACTTTTGTTGAATTCTGCATCACCATTCTATTGTTACAAATGGCTAATACTATTATTGTTGTATCCAAGCTAGCCCGATGAGTTCTGGCATTCAGCAAAACACTTTGTCAGCAATGAATATGGCATACATTGTGTGGTTGAAATGCTATTATACACTTTCCTTCTCAGAAAACTCTAAGGGCTCAAATAAAGAAAGTAATATTTAAAAGTACAAATATAACTGGTAATATGAATTTAATATACAACCTATGTAAAACTGTGTATGGAAACACAACATAGGGAACAATAATAAGAATAGTATAAAATAACATATGCTGCGATTTGTAAGCCATCCTTCCATAAAAAATTCACTGAACAGAAAAGTACGTACTTCATTATACAATATAGAGAGAAAAAAGTGCATTGATGTTCTATGGCTTTAATTAAGTCTTTGTTTGTAGCATTAACAAAACTTTATTTAAATTTATTTACAACTCCATTGTTATTCAGTATAAATAGTTTATAATAAATATTGACTTATGCATATGTAGGCCTAGGCCTATGAATGAAAGCAGTTGGGATATTTTTATTGTGATAAAAAATAATTATTGACGATTTTAATCAGAGAAATATAGACTGGGAAATGTTAAAGTCAAATCATGAGAAAGGTTTTAGAAACTGTTCAAGATTATTTTCTTCAGCAATTGGTTATGGAACCTACTATGAATAATGCTAATTTAGATTTATTGTTAATTTCTAACAAAGAAATGGTTGATAGGGTTACGATTGAGGAACATACAGGTGCCCAATATAGATTTGATGTTTTGTTGCATAGGGAAATAAGGAATAATGAGATTTTGTTTCCAGAATTCAAAAAAAGCTAATTTTGAAGAAATGAGACAAGAATTAACAACTGTAAACTGAGCAACTGAATAAGTTGGAGATACTGATCAAATGTAAAAAAAAAAGATTTTAACTCTTAAATAGTCAAGATAAGCATGATCCTTACAGACAAAAAAGGTTGAATACAAGTAAAAAACCCAGGTTGGCTCATAAAAGGTATAAAGAATCATGTTAGAGAAAAGTATTATAAATACAATTTTAAGTTGACTGCAATAATGGGAGATTTAAAAGAATTACAGAAGATCAACAGAGTTGGTCAAATGGAAAATTGGAAATTAAAAAAAGTGTATGAAAAAGGTTGGCTAAAAAACTAACAGTAAGGATTTCATTAAATACATTAAGGGTAAGCAAAATGTTAAAATGGAAGTTGAGCCTTTGGGGAATGACACAGGAAGGCTATTTACTGATGATGGCTGGGTTGTTAAATTATGTTTACTAATGAAGATGTAAGCAATATTCTTCATTTTGAACAATTTCTAGATGGCAACAAGATTGAATAATATGATCACATTAATTCTGAGCAAAAATTGGAAAACTTAAAGAATGATAAAGGTCCCAGTTATTATAGGCCTATTGAAAGTCTGATAAAAGATATTTGCATAGTCATTTAAAAAAGTTTGAAATTTTTTGGATAGTCAAGGCCCCATCGTTCAAACTTAATATGCCATTTAAGGCCACTTAGCATGGCTTCACTAGAGGAAAATCTGACCTAATTAATCTTTTGACATTCTTTGAAGAGGCTAGTGCTTATATAGATGAAGGTACGGGAGTGGATTTGGTGTATCTGGATTTTCAGAAAGCATTTGATAAGGCACCACCACATAAAACAAGTTATCTCTGTAGGTGTGAGAGATAGGTTGGCTCAGTGGATAGATTGAAGAAAGCAGAGTGTTGTTATAAATAGTTTTGTCAAACTGAAATAATGCTATGGGTGGGGTACCTTGGGGCTCAGCATTAGGACCTTTTCTCTTTTTGATTTACATCAGTGACATAAATGAAAGAATGGTCAATAAATTATTTAGATTTGTGGATGATATTAAAGTTGTGGGTATTGCTGACTGTGAGAAAATGAGAAACATAATTCTTTCTTTATTCATTCAGCATATGTATATGACTGAAATAGTCCAGGAAGGTGTAATAGGTTGTAAGTTCTCCTATTTTGTATTCTTTAGTAGATGGTGTTCTAGTTGGAACTCCTTAGCCCATGCTGAAAGAGATGTGGCTGGTTTAATCTTTACATTTAATAATTCATTTCCAGACTTTTTATTCTGTCAATAACATTCTTTTCTACCTCAATGGTGTCTTTCTTTAAATCTTTCCGTGGTTCTATAATCTTGTTGTTATAATCTCTATTTACTACTCCAATAGTTTCATCAATCAAATTTATTTTTACTTTTAATTCTTCTTTAAACAGTCATTTCTTTTTGCAACTCCCCCTCTTAAAATTCCGTACTTTACCTCTGGGTCTTTTTGATTTTTCTATCTCTTTCTAGCTATTTCTTGTCTCAATTTTCTTAACTTTCTTTTAACTGTTTCATTAACTCCAATAAATCTGCAATATTGCCACATGAGACCATCTTGAAAGTTAAAGTTTACTCAGTGTTCTATTTTATTTTTACCAGAATAATCCCACTTCTGACACAAATGTTTTAACACCATTCTTTCCTTGTGCAGATTATTTTAAATTATTTGTTGAAAATAATCCGAAGTTTAGTCCATGTAACAATAACAAGGACTTACAATGCTAGAAACCGGGTTTCGATACCCGTGGTGGGCAGAGCATAGATAGCCCATTGTGTAGCTTTGTGCTTAATTACAAATAACAAATTAATTTATTTCTTCCTTAAGATTTCTACAAGCTGTCTTCACATGTATACTGATATATCTTGTTATAGACATAAGTTTACATATGATATTCAAACGAAAATGTCCTCCAGAAGGACAGCACTAACTCCAAAGACTTACAGTGCACACAGCAAATAGCTCAATGTAGCTTTGCTGTCAAACAAACACACAAAAACACTCAAACGAAAATACCTAACTAATAATACCACACTAACGTAAAAATGAGCTACCTATAGTACAATTTCAAGGCCAAACGATCTTGTACCTGAATATACGCGATAACTAACACTGATCCAAATACTTCACTACAATTGCTTAAAGAACAACTGATTTTTCATATTTATTCACTGTTCACAACTCCTATACTAGCTGTATACTCATATTTATTGTTTGTTTGTTTGTTTTTGAATTTCGCGCAAAGCTACACGAGAGCTATCTGCGCTAGCCGTCCCTAATTTAACAGTATAAGACTAGAGGGAAGGCAGCTAGTCATCACCATCCACCGCCAACTCTTGGTCTACTCTTTTACCAACGAATAGTGGGATTTACCGTCACATTATAATGCCCCCACGGCTGAAAGGACGAGCATGTTTGGTGGGACGGAGATTCGAACCCGCGACCCTCAGATTGCATGTCGAGCGCCCTAACCACCTGGCCATGCTCTCATATTTATATCTGTAGTTTTGTTTCAAGACATTTCGCAAAGTCTCTCGATCACTCTAATCTTGAATGTTCTACCTATGCTAAGACTTAACGTCACGCACCCTCTAACTAACATCTAAATTGAAATATTGATAATACAACCCGTAATGATATGATAAAAAACTATGTACCTAACTTGTATCAATTTATGCTGTAATCAATTAAATTTCTGAAGGATGCCGTAATTACAATTTCGTTAAAAGCCAAAAAATGTAAAAGTAAATTTTGGGTTAACTTTTCCATGATTATCCTATTTGATCTAATGTTAAGCAACTTTTTTTTTTTCTATGTCTCTGGAGTGGCTGCCTTTCGCTCGATTTCAAGCCTGAAAAAGGGTGGTTAATATTTAGTTAATCTTTATGGAACTCAGCTATAACTAGAATATGTAATACTAATAGGCCTAAGCGTAACAGTTAGGTCTAAGTTAAATACGTGCAAGCCTGTCAGAATTCACATGCTGTAGCTTTATTACTTTACAGTTTTAGGATTTAACTGCCAACACCGGTATTGCTAATGAATTAGAACTATAGGCGAAACGTAGTTTTATTGTTATAAATAAAAGTCCATTTTCTAAAGTATAAATAACATAAAACTACAGAAAGGCTAACTTTATTCATATAACACATCCAACTCAAAAGGCCAGATTGACGTTTTAATTTAACTTAGGCTTAGATCTAGGTCTGTTAAACCATTATTCATATGATTTGCATGATTACCAGCAAGTACGAGTTATTCAACCATCTTCCCAAAAATAGCTTCCAAGAACTGCAAAACACATACCTGCAAGCAATATACTTTTACATCCAGAATTTGA